GTACATTAGACCTGTACTGAAAATGTTTTTATTTTTTTTTTGATGGATCTAGTTAAAACCTAATAAAAAAAGTCTGTAAGTCAATGGAAAATAAGGAAATTATACACTTAATTGGTTAAATGTATTCATTGCACTAAAATTATATTTAAATTTAAAATATTGATCGTTATCTTTTAAATATTAAATTGTCACATTCTTCAAATAGTTCAGATCATTCTGCGCTCCTTTAAAGTGTGGCAGTCATATAAACGTGTTTATATATATATTGCTCCTTTTCGTGTTTTTTTGTTTCCTGTTTCCTGGCTAGCCTATATGATCTGACATACATTTGTGTAATCACACATTGACCAGTAAATCACAACTTAAAGCTAAAACGACGTCAAAGACTATAACGTCTCTTTATGACCTACACTTCTGAACCCAAATCTATGAGATATGCTTTCAAGTATTTACTTGTCTAAAACCGATTTTACTGGTTTTAGACAAGTCTACAAATATCAGAGATATGATCAACAAATTTCAACTCGTTTGGTAAACTCGCATTCCACTAAGCGATCAAAAAGCTCTTAAGGGAAAGATGTAAGCTTTCTTTTGAGCTAAAAATAAAGGAAATAAAAAGGGCCCAAATTGAAAAAAAAATTAATTTTGCAAAAAAAGTTAAATTTTGTTTAAATAGCGCCTAACTAATTCGACTCTAATGTTTACACGAGAGCTTGAAGTCCAAAATTAAATCAATGTGTTTGATGGTCCTTTGAAAATTTAAAACCTGTACGACTGGTGTATAGAATTCTAAGAATTTTTATGTATCTTCTGGCAATACGGATTCTGTCTTTGATGGGTTGAACCCTAAGCCCGTTTTCCTGGTTCGCTAGCTTCTGGAGATCACTTATTGTCTCTATTTTATCAATATTACAAATCTTAAACTGCTATGAAACTTAATAAATTGCCTAGGTGGATTTCGGATCGTTCGTTCTTCCTCAGTTGCATTAGACATAACTTCCACCATAGTTGTTGGATTTCCCTAGGGACCTGCCGCTCCCTAAATAAGGCATGCACATACATATATTAATTAGTGTTTAGTTAGATTGAAAGGAGGCTGTATATTACATCAAATCCGAATAAATACACCTAAGTCTCCAGCCGGTCTTTTGTGCTCTTCCTTACCAGTGTATCATGTGGAAATCGAACCCACGATTTGGAAAGACTAGAACCATGGCGAAACTAATAAGGTGAAGTCATTTCAACAGCTGATTGTTCTTTTGTGTATGGAAATTTAGTCCGATGCTGTCAAACACCATATAAAAAAATTCTCTCTCAAAACCGACTCCATATATAAAAAATTGAATGAATTCGCCACAAAATGAAATGACTTCACCTTATAATATATTCGCCTTGACTAGAACACTAAGTAGTAAAACTTCTGTAGGCTGTGGGATGTCATGGCCAATCGACTACAATATATAGAATATAGAAATTTAATTGATTTTATAGTTTTCAATAACAATGATGGACTTATTGTTAAAGTTTCTAAATATTTGTAATGAGAAGCGATCACCAATTGATTTTTTTTCTGTGTGTACGTGAGAGTTTTATTACGGTTTGGTCGGATATACATACATAAGTACTATGTAAGTGGTGTAAATAGTAAGACGATCAGATGTACATAGTAAAATATGTCTTACGTCCTTTAAAAAACCGATATAATATAATATTTATTATAGACTCACTTTTCGTACACATTTTCGGTTTTAGGAATATCTAAATATAAACTTTTTTACTTATCTACCACGGGTTTATGTGTCTGAGAATGGTTTTACTATATGAATGTTATTATTTTATTTCAAAGTACTCGTAATAAATATGCTATGATTTATAATAGATATAATACTACCAAGGAAGATTGTTTTAAATCTTTTTTAGTATAAGTAATAGCACATTCCACACAAATTCTCTACAAATGATTAAATCAAATTTAAACAAAAGCATATTCGTATAGATGTGAAATATTTATTTGCTTAATCATTGTTAAAATTATAAAATCATGCACAAAATACAAACTAAATCACACACCGAATGGTATTAAATAATTTTCAATCATATTCACTTACTTGTCTTTTATTATTAATAATAGTAATAATATTAATTCTTATACTCTGCACTCGTCATGCAGTTGTAAATGTCTTTACGGATTTGGTCCCACGAAGGAGACTTCTGTTTCTCCTTTCGTTTGCGTTACTTCATAACATTTTTGAGGCCCTACTCATTGATCCATTATTCGTTACCTCGAACTATTTTAGTTTTCCATTTTAGTATTTATATAGTCCTGTTGGAGAATCGAGGTCACCTAAATGAATGGCGATAAAAACCCACCAGATGATGACTAAGAAACTTATATTTAAATCCGAAAGTTTCTTAAAAATTCATCAAAGTCAATTTTATCTTTAGACTAAATAAATTTGTTCGTAAGAAAAAAATTGACAATCATTTCACTTTAAACCATGACTCCAATGTCTTGTTGTATTTTCTTTTTACTTCAACGAATGATAGTAAAGTTGCAAGCTACATATATTTTGAAAAATAAGTAAAAGTCTTTATTTTATCAAAATACAGCTCCTGTGATCGGTAGGTAGTGCCACATCGACGGAGCTTACTAAGCGAAATATCTACCTTACGATAAATACGATGGGGGCTGATGTACATAGATGTGATAATAATGTCAATCATACTCGATGAGGGAGCTAGGCCATAAACAAGAGTGGTGAATGTCTAATAGAATACCTTCTATTTACTAGCTAGGTTTATGTAATAAAGATAAAAGTCCAAAGTTTTTCAGTTGAATAAGGGAACTAGTATTTGATATAATGCTGGTTAGCAACACTGACTTGATTAATTTTTTGATCGGGGGATATCACTTGAATGTTCTGTTTCCGATTCGAATTCACTAGTCTCGTTGAAGTCTTATCGGATGGATTGAATAACCTTCGAGATCTACACAGCTCAGTGAATTTTCTTTCTCTGACTCCAAGTGGCACTTTTTGTACCTCATAGGCTAAAGTAGCTAAGGAAAGAGTGAAGAAAACTTTTCAACAAAAACCTAAAAGGACTAAAAGTTGCATACTCTTAGAAAAATCCAACAACCATGTATAAGTAAGTGTCATCATTCCAGTTTTTTAAATATCCAGGGCTAGAAGATACATATATTCTACAGTTTACAGTCCGATATCTCTCCAGCCTGACAAGAAGCATGAAGTTGCATATGTTTTCAACAAGTTAGTGAGCCTCTTCGTAGCACCCGAAGCCTTGTAAAAGGATAGAGTCACTCTAGTTCTAAAACCTGGAAAATACAAATGAATTTCGAAGTGCTTTGCGTTGACACCTGCCGTGTTCGCCTATTTCAAGGTGGTCTTTTTTAACCACTGTGCTTCTGTGACGACTCACCACCTCCACTTTCGAGAGGAAAGAACACCACTTCCGTTTACAAAATGGTAATACTTGTATAAGATATCTTTTATCCATCATTCAACTCTGGTATACGGGTGGGTAAGATCGGTATACCCCTACGTATACACTTAACACCAACTCATTTCCAACGCTTAGTCCCAGAGTCACTCCTCTGTGGGATATCTTTTAACTTCGGGAACAGCACCGAACTTATCCGCGAATTTGAGTTTAAATCACTGCCAATATGTGGATCCCGAAGGAACCACTACCAACTGACAAGCCAGGACAAAGTCATGTGAGCAACTGGCTACCCGTAGTACCAGATTATGTGGTTCTCTGGTTCGACCCCATGTCAAATCATTCCAAGGAAAGGCCGAGGATATATTTGATAATCACCAATTTATAGTCCCGGTAGACTAGAGGTATTGGTAGCACCTCTTTTCAACGGGATTGCAATCACAACAAGAAGGGGTCTTTCATTAAGGTAACATGCCCACGGAAGAAGCGATAGAAGGACAATCCTGCTGGCCGTTCTCACCTGTCGTTAATATCTTGAGGCGCTTCTCACCATCATGGTTTCCGCAAAATTCACAACACTAATCTCAGAAATCTTAAACCAGCAGAAGTGGCGCTTGACACCATGGGCCGATAAGTCCCCATGATAATTTGCACAACTTTAATAAATTATGTACATCTCTAATAAATTCTATTAAAGAAATTAAAAGAAAGTGCCGAATAGTTTATTGCAGTGGGAATCGTCGTCACTTTTATTTTTGTCGTTAATTATAGATAAATGCATACATATACAGTTATTTTTATTTCATCATTCTTATTTTGAGTTCATGAAATAACAAACTGAATCTTGGAATTTTTTGAACGACCTATACATACGTACATGAATAATTATAATACTTATTTAAACGTCTAGTTGACATTTTCACAGCCCAGATGACGTTTAAAGTTAATAAATCACTATTCACGGTAGAACTCTAAACAATAATATAATCTTATTTAAACGATCCGTCGTTTTATATAAACAGTAGGTATTATTTTATATGAAGAAGATATTCGTGTTATCATATATTTGTTTATTTGCCTTTCCAAAAATATGAATAATGTACATTATTAGTGGGGAAAATAGCTGTAACTAAGAATTATATGAAATTGAATTCTTGTAGAAAGTTTTACGATTGGTCTATAACTGACCCTAATAAATAATATGAGATTTTCTTGGAAAATCTGCATGGGGTAATAACCTTACTGTAAACTAATGATGATGGCTCACATAGTGGGGCCCTAACCATTTTCCATTGGGTCATAATACTTATTTCTAATAGGCAAGTGTAAGTACTGGCATTTAGTGATAATGTATTTGAATCTTTGAACGAGTAAGTACGTGTGAAGTTGTTTATACATGATATTCTAATCTTTATATTCTAAATAAGATTTAAAGATAATATCTGCAATTAAAATGAAATATGACGATAAATCAAATAAAAGATAAAAAATGCGATCTTCAGGCGAATTTTCACAAACGTATTTTTTTAATTTCTAGTGTTTTACTTAGTGCCAACATAATTACAAGTAAAACTAAAGAAATTAAACTCAGATTTGCCTTAAAATGACCCCAATAAGGATACAATTTTTAAAAATAATTACATCTTAAGGATGAGAAATATTGTAACTCGTTATTAATTGAAAATAAAGTACAAGAAAAACACAAGTGTGATTTAAAGAAAAAAAATAATAAAATAGAAAATAATATTAAAAAGAAGACATAAAAGTATTCAAAATGTTTTTAAATTTATTTAAGAATAATGGCGTCTTTAACATTGATTATCGCCGGCAGTTACTAGCTTCAATGAGTGGTTTGTAGAAAAATACAGTGAAAGTGAGAAAAGTTCTTATACTTTAAATCTATATTGTTTTGTATAAAATTTATTTCACAGCTACGATCATGTCACTGCTACATGGCATTGGTTTGGGATGGCTCTCGCCCATGTTACCAAAATTGCAATCTCCCGAAGAAACACCTTTCGACTTTGTAGTCGGTATTCATGAATCATCATGGATAGGCGCCACCATTTGTATAGGTGGTGTTTTAGGAAATCTTCTTTTTCTTTCGATATTAGACCGTTTTGGACGTAAGATTGCCATGTATGGTTTAGCATTTCCGCATATGGTAAGTCTATATGCACAGAATATTAGCTAGAGAAGCGATTTCACTAGACATTATTTACAACAGTATATTTTAAAAAATTGTGTGAATTAAAAAAATATGAATTTTAAACATTTGAATTTCTTTATAGTGCTGAATAAAACACTAAAACAGTGTTATTAAATTTTCAATATTTCGAACTATATAAATTTAATAGATTACAAAATTTCCCAAAATATACATAAATATGGCCAATTCGAGTTGGAAGCAATACAAAATTTCGAATTTTAATCGATTTTAAAATATATTGAAATTTAGTGGTGGAGATCTAGACATATAACTAATCACTTTATATGTATACATACAAATATTTTTCTATCACACTCTTTTATTTTAACCACAGTGCCTTTGGTTGTTCATTTACTTTGCTCATTCAATTGAATTATTATATGCTGCTCGTGTATTTGGAGGTTTAACTGGAGGCGGTATTTATATTGTGATACCGATTTTTATAAGTGAGATATCTGATCCCTCGTTAGTATTCCCACAATGTATATATACAGATAAATCCAAAACATGGGTACTTGTCTAAATAAACTTTAACATATTTCTACAGAATACGAGGACGTTTAACATCGCTATTCGCATTGACTCTCAATTTGGGTGTATTGATCGGTTATATTTTATCGTCATATGTTCCCTATCATATTATACCATGGATTGTTTTACCAGTTCCAGTAATGTATCTAATAATTGCAACATACTTTCCCGAAACCCCTCAATACTTATTGCGCACAGGACGCGAAGAAGAGGCTAGAAAATCATTTATGTTTTATAAAAACAACATCGATCAGAGGGGTGCTGCGGAAAGAATTACTGCACAGAATCAGTTTGAAGAACTGAAAATAGCAATAACACATCAAGAGAGCAAAAGTGAAAAACTCACTTTAGACGATATTTGTAAGTTAATGGCCGCTTCAATCATAATTTAAAACATTTATTTTCAAAGTTTTAACACTCTAATTTCGATTTTTAGTCAATCGAAAAGCTTTGAAAATCATCTGCACGGGTATTGTACTTATGATTCTCAATATATTTTGCGGATCATTTGCGCTGATCAACTATATGTCAAGCATTTTTACGGCTACCAAAACAGAGATGCATCCGGATGTCAACACTATAATAATTGGTTGTGTCCAAGTGTTTGGTACATATACGGCCACGATATTGGTTGATCGATTTGGCCGTAAGATTCTTATGATTGTATCTACATCTGGTATGGGCATGGGTATGGCAGCATTCGGAATGTATGCCTTTTTCGCCGAGGAGACAGATGTTGACCTGACACCTTACAGTAGCTGGCTTCCACTTTTGTTGATGGCGTTAATAATATTCTTGGCCAATGTTGGCATTATTTCGGTTACTTTTGTTGTGTTAGTGGAAATATTACCACCCAAGGTAAACATAAAATTCTGCCTATCCGGTGTTTACAATGAATCAATTTTCTCTATGTTTATTTTTAGATTCGCTCCATTGGATCCTCCTTTTGTTTGGCTCTACTCAGTTTATTCGCTCTAGCTCTTCTTCGATTTTTCCCAGTAGCAATGCATTCATTTGGACTATCAGCCGCAATGTGGTTTTGTGCTACAGTTTGCGCATTTGGACTATTCTATATCTCAGTGTTTTTAGAGGAAACAAAAGGCAAATCAATGAACAATGAAAAATAATTACAAATATATTTTTGTTTTTAATGTAATCTCAATAAATGTTGGCTAACATATTTTTGTATTTATTTATTTTGTAACTTATTAAATCCACTAGATATTTCTTAGGTTTTATCTGCTATCATAAAAAACATAATTAAACACATACGATCCTTATTGAATATATTATTTAGTACTTTTTATCTCTCAAGTGGTATAAACAAACATCAATTTGAACATGCAGGGTCCTAACTGAATAATCATCTGTAAATAGGGGAACCGGAACTAGGGTTGCCAGCCTGGCTGGACTTGGCTGGAATGTCCAGCTTTTTTGATGCTTGTCCAGTTTCAAGCTAAAATTGAATTTGTCCAGCTAGATAGAATTTTTTTAGCACACTGCAATAATTTTTATGTTATCTTTGTCAAATCATGTTAGCCAACACTGATTGTACATTTGTTATACAACTAAGTTATGATTTCCCTCTTCTATCATCATGTCTCAACACTTGAACAGCTGATGTCGTAATAAATATTAGGTCTGTTCGCGTACTCGATAATTTGTAACAATTTGCAACAATTGTTACTGGATTCCGTTCGCGTTCGAGCGATAAAAATTACAGTTCGTTGATAGAGAATTTTTTGATTTTACTGGATATTTTTTCCCCAGTAAAAAATATCCAACTTATATTCACAACATATGTTTGTTTTTTGAATATGTAAACAAACCAAAGAAATCGAAAATTTGGTAAATTTTAAATTTTTTGAAAGAAATATATAAATTAATAACACACGAATATTAAAAAGTTATTTGTAATTAGATTTATTTTAATTTTATTTATCATAAATTAGTTTTTAAAAGAGTTTATTTGTTGTGAAAAATCATATCAAATATTGTCAATCTAGCGTTTTTAAAACAATTTAGTTTGTCTTTCTTTTAGCGATTTTGTGTAAATTTTTATTTTAATAATATGTTTGTATCATAAAGTTTTAAAACAATAATATATTTTTAATGATGCTACATATTTTGTTAACTTTAAATATCCATTTATTTATAAGAAAAATCAAAGTTTCAATTATTTGTTTTTTTGAGATTTCAGCAAAAGGGCATTACTAATCTTTGTTTATAAACAAAAACTTGCACATTTTTTTTTTTAAATTGGCTCTCTATCATAAAGTTACTGGATAGGTATTTCTTACAGGAAAGTACGCGAAAAAACATATTATTGCGAGCGATAGTCAATTTCTTTACGTACATCTTACGTACTTATGATTTTTAAAATTTAAAACTTCAAAAATGGAGCTTTTTCACATCTTTTGCTCTTAAAAACTAAGTTAACGAAGTGATCGGGGAAAACTAAAAATATATTCGTACTATATGGACTATAACAAAACGGAATTGGTATATGAGAACCCCTGCATTTTTTTGGTGTATCACTGTGAAATTATTTACACAAAACCAAAATTAACATTTTCTCGGCATTTTTTTATGTCCAGCTTTTTTTGTTTTGTCCAGCTTTTTAAAACCCGATGTCCAGCTTCTTGCGAATCGGAATCTGGCAACCCTAACCGGAACACATGACACACAGTCCTTATTAAATACGAATTTATAGCGAGAGACTTTAGTTAACATTTAGCATGTAGCGACCAGAGTGGATGAGAATCTACTATGAGGAATTTTTTGGACCTTTTTGTTTATCATCCCTGCAGGAAATGGAACTAGTACCAAACTAGTACTTTACTAGTACCAAAATCACCAGTACTAGTTCCCAACTGTAAACTTTCCTATACCATCTTAATGCTCAAATTAACATTGAGTGTGTTTGAAAAATTACTAGTTCTGGACTTATACTAGTACACTTGGACCCAATTGGGTCCTTTAGAACAAGTTTATTACTAGTTCTAATGTTCACAAAAAGTCACCGTAATTGGTGATTTTGCTCCTTTATAATTCTCCTGCTAGGTTCCAAGTAAAAATACAAAATTAGTTTTTATATTGTTTTGTTTATAAAAATTCAATTCAAATAAAAAATTTTATAAATATGTATGTACATTTATACAAGTTTGAAGAAATGCTGGTTTCTATCCGCCCACCAACGTTGATATCGTGGGTTATACATATAATGTCCTCCAAATTGCATTCAGGTATTGCCTTAAATACATTTGCGATAAAATAAGTACATACATACATATGTATGTACATATGAAACTCATTGCTATTTTAAAATTTAACAGACGTACTTACATGGGGTTCTGTATCCAACTATACCTAAACAGTCATTCACTATTTATCCTCTAATTTAAAAGGAAATGTTTGTAAATTTCCTTTATTTTATGCAAAATGTTTGAGAATTTTATTTTAATAATTTCAATAATTTATTTTTTCCAACACATGTCAAATAAAAATCGGTCTGCAAGTGGTGCTCCTTTAACTACTTCTAGTACTAGTATATTTCCATAAAAACTCTAACCTCTTTTGTACTAGTGTCTGCTGTACTAGTAATAGTACTAGTGGCCTTTAGACAGTTATCGCTTCATTTCCTGCAGGAATATTATACTTTTTTAATTTTCTATAATATTGAACACAGAAATATAAAATTTTTGATTGAATGAGGATCTATGAGGTATTTTATAGGACTGTTTCCTTCTACAAATAGTACTTTCGAAATTTTTTATAATATGGAAGCAAAACGCATAAAATTAAAAATACAAGTTCCTTATTGAATGAGAATTTTATTCAAGTGGTAAAAACAGAAATATTAAAAAAGCATATAATTAATTAAAATTTTCTATAATACAATTTTGTATATATTTAATTCTGATTCGGGTAGCGAAGCATTAATTATGACTTAATAATACAAATGATAATTCAAAAATATAAAATAAAAGAAAAAACTAAGAATTTTATATTCAAAAAAGGTTTTCCCAAATTAATATACAGATGTTTACTGATAAATGAGCAGTTAATATTGAAAGTGGTATGAGTCCAGTTGTCCAGAATAGACAACATTCATTTTCAATTATAGACCGATTGAGGTTTTAGTTGGTAATACGATTTCTATTGAAATTATATTTATATATGTATACATTAGACCGACTCACAAAAATAGTGTTTGAGTTACTCCCCCTCAAAATATTCGTTGTTATGTAATATGATGTTACCAAAACTATTTTGGGTTGGTCCGTTCGGAGGTGGACAGTTTTCAAGAAAATATCCTATAGGGGACATGATTTTTCATGTTCAATTCAAAATTTTATCCAGGTTCAAAAAAGCTTTGTTTTGTTTTATGATGGTTCCCAAAATAATTCTAGTCTATCGTTGGCCGTTTGTAAGCTGGACCGGTTACAAAAAAGTCCCTTTTTAGTTATTTGTTTAAATTTTCTGTTTTTTCTTAAAAATATGCAATATGTCGAATATGACAATTATGAGCAGACGGTTTTCTATGATTTTACATCATTGGACGTGGCTTTAACACCCCTTTCAAACGATACCCCATATTGAATATATTGTTTCAAAACAAAACTAAAATTAAAAAAAAAAATAATTCAAAAATACCTTTTTTGAATTTGGTCCTGCTCACGAACGGCCATCGCTAGACATAAAATATTTTGGGAATCATTATAAAACAAAGCAAGCTAAATTTTGAGAGAGGTAACAAAAACAAGTTTTTGCTTTCTATACAGAGTGAGTCGGTCTAATATACATACATAATTCGGTGGTAATACCGATATTCAGGAGGGAGTTATTAACAATAAATCTATTCTCTGGAATAATGTAAATTTGTTACATTACATTTGTTATTTTAATCCCTGGACAAAGGAAAAGACTTGTTATAAAATTTGTAATTGCTGCTATAGTTAGTTTGTTTGAAAGGAGGATATGTGTATATTAGAGTGGCCCTAAAATGAAAGTTGCTGATGTTCCCACCGAAAATAAAAATTGAATTCATTCTAAGATACCATTTCCCAAAATGGTAGTAGGGTGTGGATGCCCTTATTTTCCCTCCATACAAACGGGGCAACCCTAATGTATATACATCAAATCCGAAGAAATACACCTGCTATAGTTTCTGAAAAATCTAAGAATGAGAAAATACATTTTGTTTTCTAGATTGTTTCAGAATTTAGTTGTTGTAATTAGCTTTCAAGTACTTACCACGTTCGCTTACAAATAACTACTTAAATAAGTACTTATAAATAAGAAGCTAAAAAGTTGTTTTGTTTTATGCACAAAAAATTGCTCACACAGAAATCGAACAGTCTGCTAAAATATCGGCTAAATCTATGCTGAGAATTTGTTCTTTACAGAAAATTTTCTATATATGCGTTTGTTATATAGAAAAATGTGTTTATTTTGGTTTGTTAGATAGAAAAGTATCTCTATATAAGTATTTTCTATAGAAAATTGCCATTATTACAGTTATTTTTATGAAAAATTATTTCTAACAGTTTTTTTTAAATTTTTATATATGAAGACAAAAATGATGTGGCAACTCTTTTCAATTTGTCTGAAAAATGTGGCAATTTTCACATTTTATTGGATCACTCGCTAGCAAATGTATTTTATTTAGAAACAAAGTAGGGTTACAAAGAAATAAATATTTAATTTAGATAAAAAATTATAAATACAGGTTTTGAAATACATATAAAATGATCGCAAATTTACAACATGCTTTATAATCGAGTTATTAGTTTTATAATAACATTTTATACATAGAAACTGTTTAAGAAATCTAGAAAATGTATAAGTTTTTACAATTCCAAATAATATTTACAATTACATATTTTATATATTTTAGATATACGCATTACTGTCCAAATGACAAATCCTATGGGGCTACGAAGACATGCCAGAAAAACGATCTGTCTATATAATACTCAGCAATTTATTGCTTCACACACTAAATGTTATGGCCATCACAAATGTAAGTACAATCAACATTTTTATTCATAATAATTTCTACTATTTCCAATATACAGTTTGTTTTTCAATATAATTAATATGGAACCTTAAATGAACTACATATGTACGTGCATATATTAAACTGACTTAGAACAAGTTAGAGAGCTATATTCGGCTATGCCGAATCTTAAATACCCTCCACCAGCAAGCTACTTTTTATTAAAACCCATTTAACTATGTATCTTATTTTTAGATAACTAATTTTGTATGGGGGCTATGGGAAATATTGGATCGATTGTAAAGATTTTGAACATAATTGATCACTGCCCTAAAAAAATAATGTGTGACAAAATTCATCGAAATATCTTTGGTAGTTTCAGAGAAAACTTCAAAAGAATTAGGAAAAAACTTAATTTTTTTCAAGGTAGTCAGAAATTTTTACTCATAACTTTTTACGTTGTGAACCGATTTTACTGATTTTCAATACCAAACTGCTTAGGATAATAATAAATATTTTGGGTGAATTTGGTTGATTTCCTTTGCTTAGTTTTAACATGAGCGTGTTTTACACAGACAGACAGACGGACATGGCTAAATCGACTCAGAATTTCATAAGGACCCAGATTATATATACTTCGTTGGGTCTTAGATGAATATTTCTTGGTGTTACACACGGAATGACAAACTTATATATACCCTCTATCACCACTGATGGTGGTGGAGGGTATAAAAATAGTGCTTAAGTTTGCATTTCTTAAAATGTACATGGGGGATTTCATGTCAAGTGACCCAACTTTTGAAACCATATCTTCCGATTGTGAATCAAATGTAACAAATTTCAGACCAATATCTTTTCTGGATTCAAAAATAACCGATTTTGAATTGGAAAAACATTAAAATAGTGCATATGGGAAATTCTTTTTTTGTTTTAGATTTTAAGAAATCAACTTTGTGCATTAAATATTTCTTTCGTTTAATATTTTGAAAATAAAGTGATGACGAATTTTTATATACAAGACTTGAAAGAATATGTCCATAAAATTTTGTAGTCAAGACTAGTTCCATGTTATAGAAATAAACACTTTAAATTTCTCAAAAAAATAAAATTAGAAATTTCTGAAATAAAAAATATATTTCTGAAATATAATTAGAATTTTCTGAAATATAAAATACATTTCTGAAACATAATTAGAAATTTCTGAAATATAACTAGAAATTTCTGAAACATAATTAGAAGTTTCTGAAATATAATTAGAAATTTCTGAAATTCAATTGGAAAGTTCTGATATACAATTGGAAATGGTGTAGTGAGGGTGGCTTACAACTGAGAAAGTCAATTTTGCTAATGTAGACTGTATACACTTGTTGAATGACTATAGTCCATATTTAATTGTTGTGCCAATTATAAGCAAAGAATGATCACAAAGTTTTGAAACCAAATTTATACAATTTTACAAAATATTCAGTTTTTTGTATAACCGAAGAGCCGCAAATATGCTATGCAGCTCTTCGGTTAAGCAAAATTTAGAAATAGAAAAAGTAGACAATTTTTACAAAATTGTTAAGCTCTTTTAAAGCTATAGGGTTGCCACATTTTTTAAAATTTAAGTGAAAAATATCAGTTATAACCAGTGTCGCCAGATGTGGGGATTTTTTCAAGTTTAATTTGGGGACAGATTTTCGTGGGGAGGGATTTGTTGATTATCGTAAAATTTGGGGATTTTTTATAATTTTTGCGCTATTTTTGGGGATTTTTATATTTTTTTTTTATATATTAATACTATTTTCATTCTAGTTTAGTTTTTTTTTATATAAGGGTCGTATTAAAATATTTCAAACATGGTTCACACCTTACCTCCTTCGATTTTGAGAAACTTGGTACACATACTTTTGGAATAAATACAAAATTTAAAGTTCTAAAGAATTTTCAAAATCGTTAATTTTTTTCTCAAAGGCCTGAAGTTTAATATCGTATAATTTCGAAATAAATTGCTCGATTTTATTAATCTTGGTCTCAAATTAATGGTTATGTGTTCTAGCTTCACAATTTTTTAGAACTAAAATTAGAATATAGTCTAAGCGATCACATATAAAGAATGGGACAATTAGGGGATTTCAAGAATGTTTTATTTTAGTGAAATTACCAACAGTATTTTCATACAAATTAAGTAAATTTATAATTAATTTTCGACGAAAAATTTATTTTTTGTTCAAAATTTTGAATTCTTTTTGTTCATCAAAGACAGAAATTTTAAACAGGAAGTTAATTTTCTAAAGATCTTCATGGTCCCATTTAGATTTTTATACCCACCATCAAAAAAGATAGGGGGTATATTGATTATGTCACTCCGTTTGTAACACATCGAAATATTGATCGTATATTCTGGGCCCTTATTAAATTCTAAGACGATCTAGCAATGTCCGTCTGTCTGTTTTAAGCACGATAGGGTTCGAACGGAAAGAGCTAGATACTTAAAATTTTCCACAAATATTTCATATAGGTAAGGTTTGTTTGGTATTGCAAATGGGCTATATCGATCCACGATTTCGCATAGCACCCATACAAGTAGCCCCCGAAAAACAGCTTTAACAATCATAACTGTTTTAAAAATACGAGTGTAGCGATGGAATAATAAATAAGTTTTATATGCGTCAAAATCTCTCTACCAAATTTTGTTAGGATCGGTCCATAATTGACCCTACCCCCCATATAAGGTCCTCTTCAGAAAACGACTTCATCGCTGGCTTAACATTTTTAAGTTAAAAATACGAGTACAGCGATAAAATTCTACATAAGTAAGTTTTATATGCGTCAAAATCGTTCTAATAAATTTGTAAGGATCGGTCCATAATTGATCCTACCCCCATATAAGGTTCCCTTGAGAAATTTACTTTAACGCTTATTATTGGCTTAAAAAAACGATGAATTTTGACATAAACAAGTTTTGTATTAATTAAAATCGCATTACAAAATATTATGAGGATCGGTCTACAATTGAACCTACCCTTCATATATAACGCCACAATAATAAAATTACAAGTTCCTCATAGTTGTACTCACCATAAAAAGATTTTTATTATAATTCTTCATTCCGAATTTTAAGAGGATTGGTCTATAGCTGACCATAGCCGACAAAACATACATAATCTATGTACAAAATTTTTTGGGCAAGCGTAAATTACTTTTACGCTTATGACTGGATTAAAAATACGAGAACAGCAATGAAATTCGAAACGAATAAGTGTTATACGACTCGAAATCTTTCCACAAAATTCTACGACAGTCCATAATTGACCCTACCTCCCATATATATTCATAGTTAAAAAATTGGACAAAAAAAAATTGTTTTTAAAAATTAATATTTTGTTACACTCTTATAAATTTTTGTTTAAATTTACACTATTTATTGTAGGTAACCAGACTCCTATTATAATAAGTGTAAAAATATATGTTGAAAAGTATTCAAAAATTTTAAACACATTGTATGTAAAAATAATTGAAACAAATTTGTTATTTTTACCTATTTACGTGTATAAAAAAGTTTTGTTTAAATTTAAACACTTTGTGCCAAAGTATAACAAGTAGTCCGACTCTCACATATGGGAAATTACTCTTTCACATGTACGAGTGCCGTGTGAATACGGCTCTCTTATGAGAAAATTAAACTTGTCAAAGCACTCAAATGTTCACCTTACTTTTTTGGCCACTTTTAGGCATCCTACGCGAAATTGCACTTATCCACAAAAAAACTGCATTTTTTTAAATAGTTTTCAAGCACTTTTTATTAAGAATTTTGTTTAATTTGCTTGAACTGGAAAAAATATTTTTTTAATTATTGACATTTCATTTTTGTTGTTGTTGAATTTTATTTTACAGAGTTTCAATTTTTGGTATTGAAAATTCAAACAAATTTAAAATTGTAATTTCCCAGCAGTTCGACGGGACAGTCCCGAACTGACCACTTAACCTACCACTTGTGGTGGCCCCTAGCCACCTGACTACCCAGGTGACCAACCATTTTAACATGGGCTTGTCCTACGAGGAAGTCAATCGTCACTCTACACCCTACAAAGATACAGTAAAGAGACGATTGCCTCCGCTCTCGCTTACAAAGGGGACACTAAAGTGACGACTGTCTTCATTCTCGTTTACAAAGAGTTTATTTGTGACGAAAGACCAAAAACATACGAATTGGAGGTGGTAAGATATTAATGGAACTAAAATTTAAAAATTTCAAGTGTCTACTCTCTAGAATACTATGGGACAATAATGTGACGATTGACCCGAAAGATATAAATTTGAGTCAACCAGATGGTGGCACATTAGTAGAAAGTAACAATCATTTCTCCAAAAGATGGGTAAAATAGCTACTTTCGGAAGTACAACAAAAAAAAAAAACAACTTTTAAGAGTATAATCTCTAGGTTACTTGAGGACAGTAAAGAGACGACTGTCTTGTTTTTGGTCTTTCGTGGTTATACTAAACAACATACTTTTCAATGACAACTACTTACCGTTTGCATTACTTAGAAGAAAATTAAATTTGTATGTAAAAACCATTATTTGACGCTCCATAATATAGCTAAGCAGTGGTGCAGTGAGTAGAATATTTGACTAACAAACAGAAGTTATTAAAAACAAAACATCTTCCTCAACAAGTACTTCTTTAACTCCCTATTTGTAAGCGACAATGACACCACCGTGTTAATATATTGAGTTAAAATGCTAATGAAAAGAGGTTTTATTAGCTTTTTAACTCATTACTTTTCAATGTAAGTTTTTCTTGGGAAGTTAGCTAAACATCTGCGTTTGAGAGAGAATGAACTTAAAAATGATGCATATTGTATATATATATATATATAGAATAAATAAAAATAAACATAAACAGAATTAGTCTATATTAACTAAACTAATAAATACCAATTTTTGTTACTGCACGAATAACGGATATACGTGAAGATAATTTGAGAGAAAAAAACATTATGCAGTTTTTATCAGTACATTTTCACGTATATGCAGTAT